TTGGAGTTTTTTCTATTTAATTACTTAATATCAAGAGCTTACTCTCTTTAGTTTCAATTCTATTAAAATTCAAAAGCAAAGTTGAGATGCAGCATATAAAAGATAGTATGCCAAAAGCATAGAAAGGTAATGGATCTTTCATTTCAGCTACTAATGGGGCCCCCATAGTTATTGCTCTGGCAAAAATGTTGCAAATTGATATAAGAGTTGATTTAATCTCAGCTGGAAATAGCATGTTTGAACAGATAAAGGTAAGAGTATAGGCCGGGCATATACCAAGTCTCCCAATAAATACCAAAATTGAAACAAATACAGCTGATTTAACTGGTACTGTAATATATAAAATAGATGAAAGACAGCAGAGTAAGAAAAATATAACAAATGATGGCTTAACTCCCATTCTGTTTATTATTGGAGCTGATACACCATAAGAGAGTATCATTCCGAGTGATTATAGCAGATTATTCATGTTTATATCTCCTTCAATATTGGAAAGGTAGAAATTCATAAGGAAAAAGTTGAAAGAAACAGTGGTCCAAAGAATAGCCATAATTATCATATTTTTCACAAAAGAGGGATATCCGATGTAACTTTTGAGAATCAATTCAATATTTTTATCAGATGATATGGCTGAGGTTGGTTCTTCAATCTCAAAATTATCGTTACTTTAGATGGAAATTTTGTTGAAATCAGCTATTTCAAGTATAATTGCTTTGGCATCTAAGAATTAGCCCTTAGATGCTAAGTATCTTGGAGATTCTTTTATCCATAATACCATCACAGATGAAATAAGACTTATAATTGTTCCAATATAAATCATAGGCTCCCATCTATTACCAATATACATAAAATATAAAGGCCCACAAATAGCAGCTAATCCTTCTCCCACTTAAGCAATTGTAACAGAGATTGTTTAATGCTTTTTCATGACTATCTCCATTATGTAAACATATCCCACACATGGGTTAATGGCTCCCACTATTCCCATCAGAAACATTAGAAAATAAAATGTGGAGAGTTCATTAGCGATTAAAAATGCACCTTAAATTATTGTGCCCGCGAAAGCATTTAAGTATAGAAGTGGCTTTCTGCCATACTTATCACTGAATGGAATCACAAGGAACATACTCGTTAATAAACCAGCGAAAAAGAGAGAACCCAAGAATCCAATTTATGATTCAGAGTTACAATATAGTTCAAGTTACTCTACCCAGTTATGAATGCTATTTTAACTTGAGTAATCTGGTTGCCAGTCTTTCTTAGCTAAGGAGCATGCTTCTTATCTGGTGCAAGCATTCCAAGCTTATGTCTCATTATTGAAGCATTTAAAGTTGGGATATTATTCAAAATATGAAATGTTGTAGAGTAAGAAGCAATTATTCGAAATCAAACACACTCCAAATATCAGTGAGTAAAGTTAGTATCTACCGAATCCTCCTACCTTTTCAAAGGCCTTGTCAACATCAATTACTTTAGATTTATTCTCTGAATCTAACTCAGATTCAGTGTCATAATTTTCATGGACTATTGAGTCATTTAAGAGCTTTTTCTGTTCAAAATCCTCTATTATAGTACAAGAGTCAATTTCTTAACTATTTTCCATTTTAATTCTAATTTCAAATTCAAATTTAATCCAAGATTCTTTTATTCATATCTCTGAAAAAAACATATTTTATAATCCTGGGGTTTTGGGGTTTTGGGG